TTCTCGTTTTTGTTATTCACAGCAATTTTAATTAAAAAAAGTATTTTATTTTTCACGTTGACATTTGATTGTTTACTAAAATTATCTTTTTATTTCTTATTTCTACATGCAAAGGTTGCCTGGAAGAAATCGCCATAGGCGATTAGGCCGCCTTTGCACAAACATGTTTTATTTTGTATATATAATTCTAAGTGTCTATGTTTGTGCAATAAAGAGTTTTTAATTTTTATATTTTTTTATTTATTAGATAATTGTAAATATAGCTTAGTTAACTAAGATGACTAGTTAAGATGCTCGGGAGTAGAGGTGGCCACGGCGGATGGGGGGGGGGACAATAACGTACTTCCCGTTTTAAAAAAGTATTACAAAGACAATACTCGCCGTAAGCAAATTTACGATCGGTTCCTATAATCTAAGCATCCAGTAATTACATATTACAAGCACTTAAGTCTATAGTTAACGTTTTCCATTGCATAATTATAAACAAGTGAAAGTCTGTCCTTCTTCCGATCATCAGTCACTATTTATTCTATTCTCTATGACAAGAAGGAGATCTTGGAAGGTGTAACACCCCAACCCTGTAACATTGATTGCAGATGCGTTGTCGACCTTTGCTTTTGACATGAATATTAAATATTAAACTTCACTTGTCCATATGTAGACGGCGGCTCGATCACTTCAACTCATTCAAATCCCCCTTTTAAATAAAGGTTTTGTTGGTCTTGAATCAAGATACTACCGTGGCCACAGTGTGGGCACAAAATTGCTGATCACCACAACCCCATAACCCGGATCTACATTAAGTATTCTCGGTGTTTCGGACCCTTCTACGTTGATCTGTCTAAATTTCGGAGACATTTGATCCCATTTTGCAAATTTATAATTTTTTGATATTAGTGTGAGTTCGTCTGGAAACCTGGATGTTTAACTGGATAAGTAGGAATCGCATTTAAATTCCATCCGGGTCAAGAACACCATCCACAGATGAAAAGATTAATCGCATTTAAATAAAACACGTTTCGGTTTCAGACAGAATTCCGAAAATCCAAAGCCGAAAAAGGGCGACCGCGCCCCCCGTGTAGATGTTTTGTGGCTTGGGTTTTTCCCGTTTTAAAACCCAAAAATTTTTTTTTTTTTTTTTTTTAAAATTTTTTTTTTTTTTTTTTAAAAAAAATCCCCTTTTTAACCAACAAAAATTTTTTTTTTTTTTTCCCCCCCCCCCCCCAAAAAAAAAAAAAAATTTAAAAAAAAACCCCTCCCTTTTTTTCCAAAAACCCCCCCAACCCCCCCCCCCAAAAACGGGCCCCCCCCCCCCCCCGGTGTGGTTTTGTGGGGGTGGGGTTTTCTCGGAAAAACCAAAAAAAATTTTTTTTTTTTTTTTATTTTTAATTTTTTTTTTCCTTCAACTAACAAATCCCCCCCTTCACCCCCAAAAATTTTTTTTTTTTTTCTCTCCCCCCCCCCCCACCAACAAAAAAAATTTTTATTTATTCCCCTCTTTTCTTTTTCCGACCCCCTTTTAACGGTTTAAAACGCGATATATATTAGTTTAACTTATTTGAAAATGATTTTTAACTGAGTTTAACTAATATATCGCATTTTAAACCGTTAAAGTGTTTTATTTCAATGTGCACTACTCGCGTAAACGATTAACAGTATTTAAGATTAATCACGTTTCGGTTTCAGACAGATTTCCGAATATCCAATGCCGAAATAGGTCGACAGCGCATCTCGTGTACATGTTATGTGGCTGGGGTATTTAACCTCCCATCAATGGAATGATTGTCTGTCCTGAGTTATTGCCCTATCCGATCTCTACGGGAACTCGTGATCTTTGCCAAGTAGGTTCAGATATCTCCAAGATATCTGGTCCTTCTGAGCTTCAATCGAGTGAAGGTCCATTACGCGACTGAATGGTCACTTACCGTCACTTTACAGTCGGTTCGTTTCGGTCGTAACCGTCTGATCCAAGGCCATGTTACAGTGACTCAGTTTTGCTATCTGAGTGCTCTGGTGACCTTTTGCCTGTACCCGCATTACTGCACGATCGCCTAGTTCTCTCGAAATATCAGCGAACGGGTATAGGCTGCGTATTTACGGTAGATTCATGTTTGACGGTCTGCTGGTGACGCTAGATGGAGATTCGATTCACGTTGGAATCTTGGGTTCGCAAGAAAATTAGTACTAGAGACATGGAAGTTCGTGGGTCTAGTGGTGGCAATGTTTGACTAACAACGGCTCTTAGGTTGGAACTGAACGAGTCTATGAACCTGTGTCTTAGAAACTTTTAGGTCTCGTTCGGAAAATGTAATTATTACAGATGGGTAGTAGAAATATTGGAATACCTTCTAGACCACGAACCACCCTTCTATTGTGTAAATTTCTCAATGTCTAAAGCCTCAATGGATCAACAATGTGCGTTTCTATGACTGGAGTATTTCCACCTCTATCAAGTAAACTCCGAACATGACCGTCTCTGTCAATATCCGTGCTAGTGTAGCGGTGCTTAGCACTTTTGACCTCCCTTTTATGAGCCCCACCTGAAACTAGAAACGAAAGAACACTATCGTATAGTTATTATGCTTCAGTTTCAGAATTTCAGAGGCCGCTTTAGTCGCGTATACGTGACACAATTATAAACAGTATTTTTGTGGTTTTAATGGTTTTTCTGAGAGGTGTCCCTCCACATACATATATGTATTATTATTTATGTTACTAGCTGTATCAGCGATTTGTCCGCGTAGAATAGTTATTTTTGGAATCCAAATTTGTTTTTGCAAACCTCTACATCTTTATAAATTTAAGCTGCGTACGACATCGGTCGCTTCCCGTCGCTAGCGACCCGTCGTTCGGGTCCTGTCGTTCTTGCGAGTTAATTTTAAAAGATAGAAAGAAGGAGACATATGGTATTGCGAACATTTTTTAGATCATTTAAAGAAGAATAATTATTTAATATTTTTTGGGTGTTTTGAACCGCTTTCGCCGCGTACGCATGTGAAAACCACAGAGATGAAAGATTTCCCCCGTTTTGTTCACATTTCCCGCTGTATCTTCGCTTGTTTTACTCGCAGCGCGATGTTTTATAGCCTGAAGCCTCTTTCGATAAATGCTCTAATCAACATAAAAATAATTTTTCGCCCCATAGTTCCTGAGATTAGCGCGTTCAAACAAACTCTTCAGCTATATATATTAGCATAGATTGTATTTTTTGTGTGGATTGTTTGATTATATATTTTCCCCAAGTTCGATGGTGGGGTTCTCAAAGAACAGTGTCGCAAACGCTTAGGCACTCAGTTTCAGTGGCACACGAATGTTGTACGTAACCTCTTTGAACCTGCGCCCACTTTCACTTTTGTCGTTGCGGAAACCACCGTTCATATAAGTACGAATTACCGTTGTATGGCGTCTTGGGCAACACCCCGGCCATTTCGGATAAGCGGCTTCTAACTTTGTTCGCGTTACAATTGTCGATGTTTTAGCATTCTCTGTTTACGCGACGTAAAAATTAAAATGAAACACTTAACGGTTTAATACGCGAAATATATTGGTGCACTAGCTTAACTAGCTGCGTCAGCGACTTCGTCCGCATAGAATAGTCGTTTTGGGCATCCGAAAATGTTTTTGCAAACTGTTAACTACGTCATCATACGACCCGTCGTTCGGTTCGGTTCGGCTTATATATGAGTACCTATAAATTTAATAAATCTACGGGCCGATTTTTCCCGGTGATCTGCATCAGTCACGATCAAAAATATAACTTAGAAAAGTATTTCAATCTTTAGTTATTTACATCAGTATTTACATATCAGAGAGGAGGGGAGAGAGGGGTTTGGGTTTAGTTAAATAGTAAAAATCCTTAATATTTTCCACACGTTATTGATATTTCGCGTTTCAATGCGTTAAAAAAGGGTTTTAATTTGTGTCATATTAGCGTATACCACAGATTATATTGCAAATAGTACAATTTGTGGACTTCTTTAGTTTATAATTTAAACCGATATAAGTGTTTTATTTAATGTGTTGGATCTAATCGTATCGTTCGCTAAAACTGTAGACTATGCATTGAATGAGAGTCAGGGTTGTCACAGTACGTGGTTGAAACTACCTCTCCTTTTCACATTGTCATAAAAAGGTTGTGGGTGGCTTTTGAGGCCACGAAACGAAGGCCGAAGTCAAAATTTAAGCTGACATTGTATTAGTCAATGCGGGTTGATAAAGGCGAGCCTTATATGGTCTGATGATACCTTCTCTAAAGTTCGTGCTGGTATACAAAATAATCATTGAGCTGTGCGTAGCTGTGTCAGCGACTTCGTTTGCGCATTCAAGCCAGCCGTTACCCGCAACGGGCGTGTTCCGTGGTCTTTGCATGTTCGCAGACATTTTGTACATTTGGGTGTCATGTATTGTTTTCGCAGCGTGCCAACGCATCGGAAACTTACAAAGAAGAATAATTTCCCAGTTTTTACCATTTTTCGCGGTGTTTCTTTGCTTTTCTTAGTAATAGCGCGATCTTATAGCCTTCCTCCACGAAAATAATTTTTGTATACGAAACAATAGTTCCTGAGATTAGCGCGCTCAAACAAACAAACAAACTCGTCAGCTTTGTAATAGAAATGAATACGCGGGTCACCGACGGGTCGCGGGTTTTTTATACGGGTCAGAAACAACCGTCCACGGACAAAAAGCCGTGAAATTAAATCGCGTTTCGGTTTCCGTATGTAGTTCTCTACATATCCAAAGTCAAAATAGGCCGACAGCGCATCTTCTTTCGATGTTATGTAGCTGGAATATTTCATTTTATGTCAAGTCCCTCTATCACGAAAATAGCATATTATTGTAGATGAGGAAAATGTTCGATTTGTGTTTGAACTTTAAGGATATTTTATGATTTCCGCGTTTTACGGAAAACTCGAAATGTGTTTTAAATACAGGATAGTAGAGATGTGTATTGTATCTCTTTTGTGTCTGTTATCCGATAATCGTTTTAATAGCCCTCCGTTATGCCCCAAGCCATGTTCACAGTAAACAAGATGCTTCTTAATCTATGCACGAAAGGGAATTGGCATGCCATGGTCATGCCAGCTGTGGTCATGTTCGGTGGGAATGTTGGGAATGTCAGGGTGGTAGTTAAAATAAGTTAACTAATGTTTTAAACCGTCATTAAAATGTTTACTGCTCGTGTAAACTATAAACGAACTTAAATACTTTCTGTAGCTTATGCGAGTAGATAGAGGTGCTTTTCAGCAGCCGTGGGCCATCCTAGTAGGTGATTTTCAAAGCATCCGAAACGTCCGGCTGTAGTTAGAATAGTTTTCAAATTAGTAATTTTAACCAATAAACATCGCGTTCCAAACCGTTAAACTGTTTTATTTAAATATAAATGATTATTTATTTATTTCCAGATGGATCAGTAATACTCTGGGACATAAGAGATCTTCACATCAAAGACCACAGGAACATTCGTGTCAACATTGAGTTCGACTACGCCTCCCACATCGCCTGGAGTCCAGACTCCAGGGGTTTCGTGGTTCACACCGTCCAGGAGAACCGCATCATGGGATACAAGGTGGAGAAGAAGAAGGACGTCATCGCTTCCGCTGTTCACGCAATAACGTTTGATAAGGTAAAGTGATGTATCTACAAAGTTTTCTTAGCAAGTAAGAGACAGTATGAGGTTCAAATATAAAAATAATATCAAGGAATTACAGATAGAAAAAAAATAATAAACTGCAAGCAAAAAGGATGCTTTGAAGGGGACGCAATGAGAGCTGGATAACCCAAATTCCTGTGGACTGACCACCCGGTCACTTCTATCAGTATCGCCAAGGTTTAATACCCCAGCCGTAGGACACCTTATCAAGATGTGCTGTCGATCTATATCTAGAACCCTACAGGCTGATACGAAACCCGGGTTTATCATTTGGGGCCGATGGTTCCAGACCTAAAAAGATTTTCAAGTTTCCTACAACCAATAAATGAGTTTGTTTATTTGTTTGAACGCGATAATCTCGGGAACGCGGGATCGAATTGAAAAATTTTTTTTTTGATTAGAGCATTTATTGAGGAACGCTATAGGCTAAAACATCGCCCTGTGATTAATAGAAACAAAGAAACAGCGAGAAATATGGAGAAAATGGGAAAAATAAGTTATCATTGTGGATTTTCTGCGAAAACGGTTCAATACACCCTAAAAATATGTATGAGATTGATTCCTCTTAAAGTGATCTAAATAAATCCGCGACGTATAGGTCTATCGTTTAAGATTAACTTGTAATAACGACGGGAAGGGACGCGCCCGAGCTTAAATTAAAGAGGTTTGCAAAAACTAATTTGGATGCCCAAAATAAATATTCTTAGCGAACGAAGTCGCTGACACAGCTAGTAACTGATAAACTGCTGTTATTAGCCCCTCAACCTTACTGATACCTTACAGAAGAATTGTAAATAGGGGGTAAGCCTACCGCGAGGTTTCCTCTAACGAAATTATCGTATTTTGGAAATTTTACTTCGTATTAATTTATAAGGACATTTTTGTTGAGTAAATAAGGATAATTTTGAGAGTCATCTTCATGGTAAACAACAGACAGATGGGAACTACATACTTAGCAAAAGTTGTTTCTTTTGCAAAATTAATATTATTGTTTAAATAAAACACTTTAACGGTTTAGAACACGATATATTTCAGTTCAACTTGTTTAAAAATTATTTTTAACTACGAAGTTGGTTGTCGTTGACGTCAGAGACATCCAGTCTCCCCGTCACCACGGCTGCTGCAAAGCATCCGAAACGTCGGGCCGTAGTACAAAAAAAAATACAAGTTTAACTAGTATATATCGCGTTTTAAACCGTTAAAGTGCTTTATTTCAACTTTTAAAATTGCCACGTGTTTCATTTAAACTAACGTATATTTTGAAATATGCTTATGGTTTGAAATTATTATACTCTATTGTCTAAGGCAATGGAATTGCGCAGTTAGCCATAAAATACGGTAAATATATAAAGAAGGGTTACTTATGTGTACATATAATTGTTAATTGTCTTTGACACGTGTCAGAAATACGTAATAATCGTAAAGACGAAGTTTCTGCGTCTTAGCGAATTTTCAATGTCACTTCGCCTAACTTCCGGAGGCTATTGAAATAAACAAACATAAAAACCGGTTTGTTTGGAAAAATATCAGATGAGGCACAAATTGTATTAATGAGCCCAGTCAACGCGTTTTACGGTCAGTGGATTCGGCCACAGTTTAATTACAATCAGTTGCGATTGTCTAATCTGTGACCTCGATTGTGTGCAAGACTAACTGTTAACCATAGACATATATTGTTGCGGACTTTTTTGATTATTTATTTTACACATATTTAAAGAAGAACAATTATTTTCTATATATTATATATTATAATCCGGAGAAGATTGATGCTTTCCCCCTTTTTTTCTACATTTCCCCCATATCTTACCTCCTATTGGCAGCCTCATGTCTTATAGCCTAAAGCCTTTCTCGGTATATTGTTTACCCGATACTAATACAATTTTTAATTCGAAGCAGTAGTTCCTGAGATTAGCGCGCTCAAACAAACAAACTAACCAGATTTATAATATTAGTATAGATGTGTTTTGATTACGAATTCTTTGCTAGCCCTTAATAGCTTTCAAGATTAGTGAAAATATCAGCGATCTTCAGACTGATTTTGAAAGATTAGCGATAACCTCAACAGCTTGATAACATATAAATAGTGTAATCATACCTAGATAATTATCTGTGTCATATTGAACCATTTGTTTTTCAGTACAATTACAAGTCAGGCAGACTGGCGCGTAACGCGTTACGCGTAAAGAACCGGTAAATAGTTATTTGAAGACGTTACGATGTTTGTGTATCTGTGTAAAAGATGTGTAGCTATGCATAAATTAAAACTGTCAAAACTTTTCACAAGATGGCGTTTTATAAAAAAATATCTTAATATAAAAAAATAGATAAAATTCGACGATGACGTGTAGGACATGGTGGAGCAGTTGGTTAGAGTAGCACGGAACGTTGATGATGCCGGTTCATGTCCCGCCCGCGTTGTCAAAATTTGTAATCCAAATAGATTTTTAATTTTAATTACATATATAACAATTTTAATATATCAGTCGATTTTAGTACATCAGCCGTATTACGGGGTATATATTTCGCGTTTTAAACCGTAAAAAATCTTTTATTTGTTTTAAACAACATGAACTGCAGATATATTTAAAAAAATAATAATTCGTAGTAGTAGTCGTTGATCAAACATTTCAAGGACGAAATATATCGCGTTTCAAACCGTTTGAAATGTGTTCTTTGTTTGAAAACTTCAGTTATTTAATTTATTTAGGTTTTATTTGTTTTATTCTACATAAATTACAGACAATACTTATTTTAAACAAATAATTGGTAGTAGTAAGTAGTTTACAAATTTAAAGTACTATCTAAAGTTTATGTTAAGTATTTCCCCACTGCGAGTGCTATGCACTATCATGTTGCTGGTATAATGAATACAACCGCGTTTTCTTGGCACACCTTTACTTTCGGTTTCACTGGAATTATATTAGTGGCACGCGACTTTCGTTGTTCTTCAATGGGCGATTAGGCAATACGTGTAATTTTTCCCTCTGTGGAGTGGTGGATATTGGCTTGGATTCAACCCACTAATGTCCCATTGCTGGGCGCAATTCTCTGTACGCCGTGCGAGCGTTTTAAGTCTGTTTGGTAAGTGATGGTCACCGAGGCCGAGTGAAGATTAAGATATTGTGATGACATCGACTGCCTCCAAGAGCGGGGCTGGTGTAAGGAATTTTGTAAAGAAATTCCTAATACAGAAGTAACGTATGCTCCAACCCAGGATTTAGATCAAGGAGGTAGTTAGTAATTTTCGTTTGTAGTTTACGCAAATGAAACACGTTGGTCAGCGGCGAATTCAATCCCCTTATAATGGAACCGTTAAAAGTGTTTTATATGCATGTGTATTACTAGTGTTAAGTACGGAGCGACTGTTCGAAACGCACCCGACTAAAAAGCTTAATTTAAACATGCAAATAATATTATAGAACTGAAGATCAGTTTTCACACAAAAAATTATATCTGTCGTTTACACTTTTAACGGATTAAAACGCGTATAATATAATTTAACTTATTTACAATTCATTTGCTGTGCAGCAGCCGTGGTCACGGGGAACTGAAGATAGAGGGTGTCCCTACAGTCATAGTCAAATCTTTTACGCACTAGATTACGCTGCAGATGGCGTTCGCATTTTGTATTAACATTTTAAACCGTTAAAAAGTATTACATTTAAATAGAAATTGTCGATCATCAAACACATTTCCGAAACATTGTATTCTAAGGTCACGTCTCGACTGGTAAACATTATTTGCGCTCAAACAATGTTTCTCAAACACGAGAGTGTTTGCACAAATATTTGGTGTTTGCACACCTCGAAATACGTTACTCGTGCATTAGTGACAATTAGGAAATCTTCTAGTGATTCTCTAGGTAGGTCTCTCTGTAGGTGGCTATCGTGATAAACACTTTTCTCTAGTGCCGATTGCTTAGCACCCTCAGTAGAGTTATGTGGGTAGTTTAATAACAGTGCCCTCATTTGTAGACTAAGATGAGAAATAACTATTATGTGTAGCTAACGTGAGTTAGATAAAACTTTTAACGGCTTGAAACGCGAAAGAGACACGGTGCTTCCGAAAACACGCGTTATTTGTGGTTTGTCAACCTTACTCGTCATTTCAATAATGGTAAGAAAGAAAATGTTATAATAAGACAACTACTTATTCTTGAACTATTTAAGTAAAACACTTAAAACGGGATATATAATAGTTAAACTTATTTGACAATTATTTTAACTACGGCCTGACGTACTCCCCGTGACCACGGCTGCAGCAAAGCATCCGAAACGTCGGGCCGTAGTTACAATTATTTTCAAATTAGTTTAAGTAATATATATCGCGTTTTAAACCGTTAGTATTTTATTTCAATGTGTACTAGTCGCGTAAACTACGGATAGTGCAGAGGTACGGGACCCTTCGCACCAGTCCGAATCGTCCTTGGTCTAACTTTAAATTTCCAATAAATTTTAATTATTGTTGATTAACAAAAAAAGTCGCTCACAAAGCGAATTACTATGCGCATCTTTTCCTTTGTTCCGCATTTCATTAATTCAACAACGAGGTCAAACGCCTTATCGAAAACCAAACAGACATCGTGCCATCTTTGCTTTGAAGCTAGGGATGTGTTTTTGTTATCGATGTTTATCTTTGCATTTCCGTGTTTCTCCTTTTTTATTGTGTGTGTTATCGTAGCTTATTTTAATGTTAGTGTTTTCGAAAGAGATTTTAACGATCATTTAGAAATGGTAGTTAATATGTTTAAATAAAACACTTTAACGGTTTAAAACGCGATATGTTGTTTGCCCGATCCGTTCAGTCCCCCCGTGACCACGACTGCCGCAAAGCATCCGAAACGTCGGGCCAAAGTTAAAAATAATTTTCAAATAAGTTTAACTAATATATCGCGTTTTAAACCGTTAAACTGTTTTATTTAAATGTGTACTACTCGCGTAAACTATAGACAATATGTTTTTGACCGTTTCTAC